AATATGTAAAAATTAAAAATAAGAGCCTTAATTCTCCTTGTTGACTTAAGGGATGAGACACACCCTCTTCCCGTTTCCTAAAGTGTTTGCTTTAGAAAACTTGTAAGTTCTTTCTCTGTTTCTTTGAAAGCATGTAATTTTTTTTTTTTTTCTGCAGTGGACAAGAAGTCTGCATGTGATTGGCCACTTGGCACTACTTATATGTCTGGAAATCATCGTGGTCATCAACAGAAAGTCACTTGGGGAATCCAAGTCTTAGGATATGAATGCACTGACAGCCTGCTTCCCTTGAACCTCAGTCTACTTCATGCTCAGTCACTGCCACTCACCTAAGGCTGTCCCATTAGATAGGGACAAGGGTGGATCCTCTGAATATGAAGGAAACCTTACAACTTTTCTTTGCCTGCATTACCTGACACAGGCAGCCTGTACTCACTTCAAACACAGGCACAGAAAAGAACACCGAGCTGTTGAAACAGAAGTACAGGCAGAAGGCCACAGCTATGGCTCCACAACCAACCCATGCATTGCCTGAGGCAGGACCCACTATCATTCTCCTTTGTTAAGGCCGCACAGAAACCAGCTCTGAGCCAGGCACTCAATAAACCAGACATCAGGGGCCAGGAGACATCAGAAGGTGGTGAGACAGAGCTGTGGGAAAGCTCCAGGGTTTGGAAGAGACAACAGTGGACCCTCCAAACATGGGGACATGCTTTCAACAGTTGCTCTTCCTGCACTATCAATGACCAGGGCACACGGAGCCCACAATCACTTTCGAATGCAGGAGTCACATAAATATTTAAAAAATCTTCTTGCCAGCTTTATGACCCAGGAATATAGTTTTCAGGCCCCTGAGAAACATTTCTTTGGAATGAAAACATCAAGCAAGATCGCATCCCAATCTCCTGGTTTCCATGGGAGGTTAGAAGCCTAACTTCAGTGGGCACCTGGCTCCGAGGTGCAAAACTAGCTCCCATCCTGCAGCTACAAGACATTGATTTTTCTCTTGGATAATGCCAATTGTATTAGTCTACTCAAGCTGCTCTAACAAAATACCTATACTGGGTGGCTTAAAGAACAGAAATTTATTTCCTTATAGTTCTGGAGGCTAGAAGTCCACAATCAAGGTGCCGGGAAATTCAGCTTCTGGCAAGGACTGCCTTCCTGGCTTGTAGATGGCCACCTTCTCCTATATCCTCACATGACCTTTCCTCAGTGCATTGGGATTGAGAGAGGGAGGGAGGGGGAAAGCAGGAGAACTGGGGTGGGGAGAGAAAGAAGGAGGAGAGGGGGGGAAGGAGAAAAAGGAGGAGGAGGGGGGGAGGAGGAGGAGTGGAGAAGAGAAGAAGAGGAGAGAGAGCACAGGTGAGTTCTAGTGTCTTCTTATAAGGACACTAATCTTATAGGACCTCATTTAACCTTAGTTATTTCCTAAAAGGCCACATCTCTCAATACAGTCACACAGGGTTTAGGGCTTCAATATATGAGTTTGAGGTGTGGGAGCAACACATTCAGTCCAAAACACCAGTGAACTAATACATATGGTCACCCCAGTTACCAGGCAAATTTAAGATGAACTATATGTGAGACCTGGTGATCTCAAGTCCTCTTATTTGAGGACTAGCTATGTAGACCTTGAGAACTTGTATGTAGTGAGTTACATCTGCTTGGCTATACAAAAGGGTTAGATTTCTTTCTGTCTTTGGAATCTCTTAGCAGATTGTCCGTGGTGTACATCACATTCTGGTGCAATGGTTATTCAGTAATAAAACTGTTTTTCTTCTACCTTTGTGGAGACATTTTCTGGGTTGGCAGAAGATTTCGTTCTATTTTTTGTTTCTTAGCTACTAAAAGTACTTGAGAAGAACCCTCTTAATAGTTGAGGAGAGAGGGCAAGGGGGGCAGGGAAACAGGTATCACCATTGTACACCCATTTCAAAGAGGGTCAAATACAATTTCAAGATAGAAAAGGACCTAGGAGCACAGGGAAGCCAGGGTGGGCTTTCTTACCAACCTTCTTTTCTCCTCTACTTTTCCTGCATTTGTCCACTCCTGCACTTGTCCATTTTCATTAGCCACATGGACATTCCCTGGAGCCATTGGAAGAAAAGGCACTATCCCAGCCTCCTGGTGGCTCCACGTGACAGTGTTGAGGTTGGTACGATACTGTGGCTAAGACAGTGGGTGCTCGAATCAAACAAAGATTCAAATGCAGCCTCTGCCACTTCCTAGCTGAGTGACCTTGAGAAAGTTACTTAGCTTCTCTGGGCCTCAATTCCTCACCTACAAAAGGTGTAATAGTACCTGGCGCACTGGGTTTTTGTGAGAATTATATATAATAATGTAGGTAAAGTACATAGCATAGTGCCCCCATACCGAGGATTTTATTTTTCATTATATTTTCCCAAGACTATATACTACACTGTCTCCTCTCCCTCCCCCAAACTCATAACCAGTTGTCGCAGCACTTTTCTTCTCTGATCTGAAACAAGGACAGTAAGGCACAAAGTTTTTTTAAAAAAAAATGTCTTTATTGATTTCAGAGAGAGGAAGGGAGAGGGAGAGAGAGATAGAAACATCAATGATGAGAGAGTCATTGATTGGCTGCCTCCTGCACGGCCCTGAACTGGGGATCGAGCCCGCAACCCGGGCCCGGGCCCTGAGCGGGAATCAAATCTTGATCGCCTGGATCCTAGGCCGATGCTCAACCCCTGAGCCACGCCCGGCCAGGCACAAAACTATTATTCTAGTGTTTCTGGATTCTTAGCTTTGCTCATGCAAACTGAGTTATGCAAACTGAGTTTTTTGTTTGTTTGTTTGCTTTTCTTGTGTGGCAGAAAACAAATCCAGCAGTGACAGAGATGTGGGGAAACTAGCATTCTGGTGGGGGTGGGCACATTTTCTGGAGAGCGATTTTGTATTGTAGATCTACCTCTTGGAATCTATCTTAAGAAAACAACCATTCGTACAGAGACCTATATACAATAACCCCATTAAAACATTATGTATAATAGGGAAAATGAGAACGATTTAAGTGTTGAACACTATTATAACGCACCTTCTGTGCGTCCATTCGATAAGATGTTTTTGAAGAATTTTTAGACAGAGGTAAGGTCCAGATGGTGGATGAGAAAATTTCAGGGGGGAAAATCAGTGCTAACCTTGAAAAACCTTACTTGTTTATATGACTGTTATACATTTAATGTAGTCCTACAACTTTAAAACTATAAAAGTATGCCAATCTGCTGACAGTAGTTCATGGTGAATGACAAGACCCAAGTAATTTTCATTTTCTTTCATTTCCTAAATCATCTTCAATTGCCTGCACTATGTGAATATTTGAACTCCAGAACCGCCCCTCCAACCCAAGGACAAAGGCAAGAAAATCTGGACGCTGAAAAGAAACTCAGATACAAAATATTAGCTCAGTTTTATTATCTTCGGTAGGCGATATTTAAGCACCAATTAAACAAGAGGGCAGAGTGCCCAAGGGCCAGTACAGGCAAACAATTAACCCCCCACTCCCAAATAAAGTGGCAACTACTGCAAAAACCGTGGCCCTAGGGAAGGATGCACTGCCTAGGACGGGACACTCCTGTGGCCTCAATCCCCGTTTTTGGGCTGAAACTTAGCACAAAACGGGGGCACGAAGTGCTGCATGGTATGCACCAATATGGAAAGCCGGTTCAGCATGGAGGCAGCAGAAATTTGCAGGAGGTCAGAGTCTTCAGCAGTTAATCGGCTAAGAGTGAGGGGAAAAGAAAATCACTTTCGAGGCGATAACTTCTGGCCTTCCTCACTCCAACCCCTCCCCGAAGGTGGCAACTGGACCTACTCCTTCATTAGAGAGGCCCTCAGGCTGCGACAGACCCGGTGCCCCATGGCCCTCCTTAGACCAACCCTTTGGTGTCTCCACATCTTTAACAGAGCGCCCCCCAAGCAGATATTTGCCCCGCCTCCTGCTGCTATTCCCACCCAGGCCCTTCTAGAACTTACATAAACAGGTCACTGCCAGTCACTGTGAGTTCCCAACGAACCATCCCGTGGTAGGGTTCAGCACCTGGGGTCAGATACCTGCGGGCCACCTCCGCATCCACGTAGGACAGGAAAGGCACCGTGAGGGCACTGGTGGAGTTAAGGTAAAGGCACCATCCACACACCAACTTTACGGTTCAGGCCCCCTTGCCTGTCAAAGGCCGGGCTTCTCCCAGACGACCCCTCAGGCCACCCGAGACCCTCCAGGATGAGTTTTCAAGGAACTCTGCACCACAGACCCCTCAGGCCACTCCCCATGTCTCCAGGACACCGCAGCTGCTTCCCCCAGCCACCTTGGGTCGCCATAATCCCCTTCTGTCACCCCAGAAGTCCACCCCGCTCCCACCAGCCCCGGAAGCCTATCCTGCCCATCCCCTCACCCCTTACTTCCACGGGAGGGGGGAGGGAGGCTCCTTGAAAAAGATACAACTCCAGCACTTGGCTTCCCAGGCGTCTGTCGGAGGCAGAGGCCTCTCCAGCCTGCCCGGAGTCGAGCGATGCCCCCTCCACCTGCGGAGCTACCTCAGCGGCAGCGCTTTCCGCTCCGGTGCTGGCCCGCTCTCCAGGGCCCATGGGGCCCCCTGGGCCAGTGGGTGATCCAGAACCACCCGCCATGCTGCCTGTGCGGTTGGCGTCGTCGTCCGGGGCCTGCATGGCGGCGCTGCCCACCACAAACCGGAACTACTTTTTCGCTCACCCCTGAGAGGCTAGACCCTCCCATGAGGCCCCGCCCCCGCCCCGCC